TGAACCGCTACGGTTCGCAGCTAATGAGCATGCAGCTGGATTGCAAATGGCTGGATTTATAGTGTTGGTATAAAAATAAAACTGGCTGTAGTTTAGAGCTGTCACAGGCATGGAGACAGAAATTGGAGCGTATTTGACAATCGCCCTTCTACAGATAGAAGAGGCAGAGCCAAGTCTCAGGTAATACCTCTTATTTGACTAACTGGATATCATTGACAAACTAGGTTATGGGATAAAAATAGTTTTGGGTCAGAGGTCTTGGGACATGGTGAAAGAAGCAAAATAAATGTTTATTTTGGTACTTCTGTCCATTACTCTGGCAAGGCTTTATATTTTTGTGCAAACAAACTTCATACACAGCAAATGAGTATGGAAGAATTCTTGGCTTATCCAGTACCTGTGACACACAATGTAAAAATCTCCACCAAGAATTCAAGAAATATACACACACAGTGTCAGGCTTGTATAAAATATTTCAAGTTAAAAAGCTAAAAAAGACACCTTGTTTTCAAGTACATGAAGTCTTATTTCACCTTTCGTCTGTATAAAATATGTCTCAATATTGGGGTCTGTCCAAGTGATACAATGCAAAAAGTGAATGTCCTCTCCTACTCTTTTGAGTTTGAGGGGAGACAAGAGGGAATTTTTTGAGGTGTTGAACCAAAGCTGTAGTTATTTTTGAGGTCAGTTCACTGCTGACCTTTGTACTATAATATGTTTTATGGAGCTTTGTACACACTTTTCTGAATGAAATATTTGCCCTGAACTTGTATACCACAATTTACAAATTGATTCTGGTAACGCAGACTACCCAGTCATCTTACAAGTATTGCTTAATTGAAACATCCTTTATATTTTGTTTGTGTATTACACTTTAAATCACTCTTGTTTCAATTAAAGTTCTGTTTTATAGTAAAGGCTATGTGCCTGGTGACTTCATTTCTACTTACCATATGCCATAGTTGCACTTCAGAAGAATTTGAAAAATGCAGTAGCGTTTTAAGGTAGCTGAGAGGATACCTGTTGTAATGTGTGCACTCAAAGTGGAAAGAAAAAAAAAGTCATAACTGAAGAGAATTTCTATTTTGTGACCAAAGTTAAGATTTTTTCTTTTATAAAGGCTGAATACCTTTCTCTGCTATTGCTGTCTAAGTTCTCTTTAAAGATGATTACTAAAAAACATGCTCATTTTTACAAAAGAGAAAACTACTCTTAAAATGGAACTAGTAGGAGAGCTGACAGTAGTTATTAACACAGTGTGCCTTGCAATGAATAGAACTTTCTGGTGATATATGTTTGGTTTATTTGCAGAGCCATTACAGTATGCAGGATATCATGTAGCTGAAACAAGGCTAACCATAGGGTTTCAGATGGGTACCAGGTGACATTGTTTAAATACACAAAGATTTTTTTAAGGAACTGTCTATTGTAGCATAAAAGCTTATTGCACTTAGACAAATATATATGTGTAATACACAAGTTATGTGTATACATGTGTCATATACAAGTATAATTATGACAAGAAGTAATCTACCTTGGTTCCTTTTATTTTGGATTCTTCCAGATAGAAGTTAGTTACTGTAGCTTGTATTTCTTATGACACCGTAGAATGTCAACTAAGTTATGCCTGTGTGGTTGTAGTTTTTTTCATCTATAAATGACTTGTGTACTTGAAATACAACAAATTCTAAAACAAAATCAACCACCACCACTACCCCCCAAAAAAACAACCAACCAAACAACCCAGAGTCCTGTTTCTAGATAGACGAAGGTTCAAGGAGGAAGGGAGGAACAAAGTATGATGTGGGTATTTTTGTGCAGAATTCTGTTGAAATTTTCAGGAGGTGATTAAGGGGTAGTATTAGTCCATTATGAAATTCCACTTCCATTTTGGAAGCAAGCTACTGATTTCATTTAGTATCTCCCCAGGCTACATATTCAGTAGAAATGGCTTCATGACATCTAGACAAAGAATCTAGTACAGGAAATGTTTTCAAATCAAAACTTGATAGTATTAAACATCAGCATCCCAATCTTATGAATGATAAATGGAACATTAAATTGGATAATTCTGATTACTGAGGAAAGCTCAGTGGAAAATTTTCACAGAAAATGGTCTCATATTTCAGGTGTCATGTGTTTCCTTTTTTGAAAGCAGAATGTTTCAAGTTCTGCTTCTCAAATGTACAATTACTACAGAACTACAAATAAGTAGATAAATGTGGATGCAATTCTTAAGTATTCAGATATGAGAAATACGGGCAAAAAATCAAGTTAAATTAAGTTCTAAACTAGGCTAGAACATGCCGTCCTTTCCTGTTTGATAAAAGTAAGGAAAATTGAACAGCAGTCAGTTTTAAAAGTTAGTGTGCATGCAGGGACATGTGAGTATCAAAATATAATGTGAAAATATAAGTAATGCCAAACATTGTGGTTTTGGTTTTTTTTTCTTAGCTAAAAATTCAAATAATTAAAAATGATGGGGTTAGGGATGTAAGTTGCCTTCAGTTTCAATGACATGCATGCTTAAGTATGCAAATTGACATAAAACTGCATTTAATTCTATCTTTCTCTCCCTAATCTTCAAAGAATTTGCTGTTCTCATTCAAAAAAACCCCCCAAAAAATCATGTGTCTTGCAGGTTGATTAAAATTAACTTTTTTGGAACCTAAAAATAGCAAACCAAATAATACTATCTGGAATTAAATCAAGTAACCTTGATCAAACAATTAACTCATCCTCTATTAAATCAATATTTGCTGATGCTAATACTGGAGCTAGTTCCAGTAGTTGGAATTACAGCCACTGATTTAATGTCTTTATTAGTAGTAATTAGGCTGTCTTTCCCCAGTACTATTCTCAAAGCCAGTACTTGGCTGATTTGTAGAAACTGGCCTTGTCAATACCTACAGTACATGCTCTGTAGGCTGTTTTAAGATTCTTTATAAGGCTGAAGGCCCTCTCTGATGGTGTAACTCCATGAGTATTGAGATAAGTTCAGGTGCATGTTGCCACAGCCCAACTTACATCATCTGTTGTGGAGCCACAGTGTAAGGCTATTTTAGAAAAAACTTTTTTTGATTGATGTAAGCCCTAAGAAAAGCAGGGAGAGTTCCTGCTGTTGCAGTGTCAGTGCATTCTCTTTGGAATTTTTCTCAAGATACTACTGCAGTGGTGCTTTTTATAGCAGCTTCAGTTCACAAAAGGTTTTTGTCACCTCAGTACCATTCTGCCTATCCTCAGCACTAGAAATTCTAATAGGGTACTTAACTGTGACAAATTAAGAATTAATTTGCTCTGATGCGCTAACATGACCATGAAGCTCTCTTTACTAGGCCTTTATTTATTCTGTTTTCATTTGTATAATATATTCTTTGCTTCTTGGATCTAATTATGTTCATTTTGGCTGTTAAGTCCTCCTTAAACAATCTTACATGAGCTGATCTAATGCTTATTCTTGTTTGGGGAAGGATTTTCTTTGGCATGCTCTCAGGTTTGCAGGAGCATGTCAGTGTTTGGTTTGGTCTTGAATTAGCTGATAACAAATTACTTTGTAATTCTCAAGATCCTGGAGGGTTATTTGGTTCAGATCTAGCATCATGTGATCCAGCATTTATCTCATGAACATAAGTAATAAAGTGGAAGATGCAACAGCAAAATTGCAGTAACAAGCAATAATAAAGTTTGATAATAGGATTGCAATGTAAAAATTACAGTGGGACATCAGACTAGACTACCTTAATATTCTCTTCTGACCTTAAAAAGGATTTACATTTCTCTTGATGTTTAATTTTGCTTGTTAACAAAAAAAGCATTCTACTCCAAAGTATGGGTCCATTATTAGGATTCAAAGATGGACTCTTCTCCCTGGAAAGACAGGCCATAAACAAAATGGCTATGATGTAAATTATGGAACTGTTATTTTGTCTATAACCCCCAAATCAGCATGTCCATTAATGCCTTAATGGAGAAAATATTCAAAGGAACACAAGATTGAGGCTACTATGTAATTTTGGAATTTTACTTTCCATTATTTTGTATGAAAACTAGTATGGGAAGTAATGCATTTAATGGCATGAAATGTAGTAACTGGGAAAAGAATGTTCTGGGATCACAGTTTTTGAACCTAAAAGGGTTGCTGCTTTTCAGTTACACGATAACTTTTTTCAGTGTTACTACTAAGAAGAATGTCTGTCATTAGTCTAATAATGAAGGTGCAGTGGTGTTATTTAGTAGTGAATATGAAAGAGGAAACACCACATGACTGTGACAGCCAATATAGGTCACTTGCAGAACTGTCAGAACCTGGATGATGCTGACGAAGTCTGGCAAGTGCTGATCTAATAGCCAATGTTAACATTGTTTTATTTGCAGACATTTAATATTGTTTATTTTGGCTATCTGTGATTTGAGGACTCTTCTGAGATAGATTGCTTTCTTCTCTGTACTACTGCCTTTATTAGCAGTTATCCAGATCTGCAAGGCATCTTAGCTGTTTCTGTTAAGTATTTGAAATTAAGTACCAGTATATAACTTTTTAAGGATATTCAATATGGGTAAGTCCACACAGAATCTTTAAAAATACTTCTGATTTAAATTATCCTCATAAGAATCATTATGCTTCACAGCTAAACTTAGCATTTCGTAGATGCAGATTTTTGCAGTGGTTAAGAACTATTTTTTTTTTTTTTTTTTTTTTTTTTTTTTTTTTTTTTAGTAGAACTGTGCATTATCTTACTGGTTTGCAGCTTTCAGGAGCATGCTATCAATGGTGTAACTTATTACTGTAATATAACCAGATTAACACAATCACTTGGTTTAATTGCAGATTGGCAAAAGAAAAAGTTATGTATGAAAATGAAGTAAAACAGCAAGAAGAAAAGATTGGAAAAATGAAAGCTGAAGCATCTGATGATTATGGAATTAAGAAGCAGGTAAACTATCCTAAAACTTGTTTTATAAAATCCTTCTTTGCTTTCTTCTAATAATAGTCATATTAAGCACTTGTAGAAACTTCCTTTACTCCAGAACTATTAAATTCTAAGGAGACCTTATGGATTATATAGTACTTGGTGTTAGGATGGCTGTCACTCACTAACAGTGTGTATGAGGCCATACATACATGGTCTGGCATTTAGGTAAACTAAGTGCTTGCTTGCTGGTAAGTGCAAATGTTTGATAAGTGAGTATGTGAGACTGTTTGATAATTTATATGAAGATGAAACATTTAAACTCCTGAGTGAATATACTAGTGTCCCTTTGGTTAAATCACAGACCTGAAAGAGAGCGAGCAGTGGGTATGCAAATGCTCCTACCAGATGCTGGAGTTTGTAGTGAAGTCACCAACTAGCAAGGTGTATGCTATAGTTTGATCTGTTTGAGAGTATGGTTTCATGTCACTATTGCAATATGACTAAATGACTAAATTGTTCTTGGAAGGTTTCCCACAAAGGACAGTGTTTGCAGATGGTTGTTACATGGCCTTTTGGAAGGAGAAGAGAGTGTCAAGTTTCCTTCTCACTGGGAGAATGCTTGTGTTTGGGAAATTTGTGTTTATTGTGTTACATGTCACTGGAGTGACATGTCTGTGCTTAACTGTGGCCTTTATATTCTTTCGACTAAATATGTTATCTTTTGACTATGGTTGGGTTTTCTCTTAAGTCTTCACAGAAACTGAAACTGTAAATTAAAATTATTTTATTTTTTTTCGCTGTTATACATTATAAAATGTAACCAACTGTTCTCCAATCTTAATTTTTAAACAATGGAAAAGTAAGTTTAACAAAACTCAAATACAGAAATTAACAGGAGAGGAGAAAGACCTTTTAAAACAAGCTAAACCAACTTTTTTTACTAAGTTCAGATTTCAGTTCATGTGTATATGTCCAGCCTTGCTTTCATTATGCTACAGGAAAGAAATGCAAATGAAGAATTTGTATATAAACAAACAATTGTATTTATAGAGCTGAGCTGTCTTCTGCCTCACCATGGTCTGAGACACTAAGATCCTACAGAACAGTAGCCTTTCTGAAAATCCGCTGGTGCTAACAAGAATTAATGAATGCAATTCCCATTTTTAGTGTCCCCCATTCATCAGATTATTTGACTGCACCATAGTATTTCCGCAGTGACCTGCAAGACATCATCAAAGTCAAAACCAGCAGAGGCTGTGAACTTCTTCTGTGAAATGAAATGTTACACACTACCTGAAGGTATTCTCAGAGACCAATGACAAAAGCCTTCAGAGAGAACAGTCTCGATTCATTCAGAAATGGCCTGATCCACTTCGAAAGCAATCAGTTCCCCCAATGACACCTTCCCTTCTTGTTCTTTTAGTGCACTTTTCATTCTGGACATTGGTAATATTTCAGGTAATGAAGAATTTGTAGGCTCAGAAAGAACGCACACACTTTTTATAGAATCAGATCTGTTACACTAAGAAAATTACATATTAACAGGAGAGTTTGATCAGAACTGTATTTTGGGTAGAGTTAATATTTTGAGATGTTCTTCAGGAAAAAAGATCCGTAGTTACACATTTTAAAAATTGCTTCTAGTTAATAATTCCTAATCTGAATAACTGTATGTATTTAGAAATATGGTTGTAGTCTTTTTTTCAGTAATGTAAAAATGAGTTATCAGCTAAATCAGATATGTACATACAAATCAAACCAGGGTTGAGGGAGAGATGCTTACCTTTTAATGTAATATTTTCATGTAGCTTTCTAGTTGCAATTCTGCAGTAGAACATATGGTTTAACAGTACACAAGTGACTATGGAAAATTGTACTTTAAAATTAATATTGCCATCCCTACAGCATATGTAGACTTTAGGGTGTGCCTGGCCTGTAGGGAAGGATCAGTCCTTTTGCAGAACAAGAGTAGGGTTTGACTCAGTATTTTTCTCATAACTCCTTATGCAGTTGGGCAGCTTGTGGTTCCTGTGAATTCCAGTGGTCTCCAGCAGAGGCAGTGACCAGCTGGGGCAGTTGGAAGTTGTTAGCACTGCACAGAAAGGCTTATTTAATGAGGAGTAGATTTAACATCTGAGAAACAAAAAGGACGGTTTTATCACAGTGCTGGTATTCACTGGCCAAGATTATTATTTGAAGACCCTACTGTAGGGCATGAGAAGACTGTTACAGTAACCCAGGATAGTTTCCTTCCTCACATCTGAATATGCAGAGTCCCAAGCCTGTTTTATCTCATTGTTATGGTAACCCAGGATATGTTGCTTCCCCCTCCATCTGCTCCCATCTTTGTACAGGCATCAACATGATGGTAGATTGGAATTTGGACAATGGCACCTGCTATACATCAGCAAGTTCACTAAAGAGCAAAACAGGCCATTGATATGTGTATGATAGATTAATCAGTGCATGTTTACCCCTGTTTACCCCTGCAGTGCTTTCCTTTGAGCTTCACCTCCAAGCAGGGCTCTGCTGCATCAGGTCCCCATTTTGATTAGCATCAGTGTCTTGTGGCTCCCACTGTGGTAACACCATGCTTTCAACAAAGCCAGAGCTTTAACTCGCTGAGCATTGATTGGGCCTTATCCCTAAGGGGTCAGCACTTTTCATCTACAACACCCCTGTATTGCCATTGTCCTGGGCACAAGTTGTATTTGCACTGCTTGCTCTGTTGCATGTACTTCAGCTGAATCTGGGGCGGGTGAGTGCTACTGGTGGAAGGTTGTATATCAGAGTGAAAGAATCTCTAGCATTATGAGAGAAGGAAGCTCTTCCTTTTCCATCATAGCTTATGTAAAAAAAGAAACCAAACTAACAACAACCTAAACATCACTCTATCATCTGGGGTTTTTTTTTATCTACAAAGGCAGATGAGAAATTTAGAACTTAATTTGAACCAAAATGGTAGAAAAATACCATAATAATTGAAAAGCACTATTTGGGGAAAAATAGGCTATGAAATAAAAATTTTTGTATCTCAAAATCAGACTTCCCTTCAACTATAAGACTTGTAGGAAAAAGATTTATTAAGTACTTTAATAAAATACTAAATTGAAAATAATCTTAAAAAGTATTTTATACAAAATTTGTCAAGTTTGTAGAAATTAGGAAAAAAATATTAAGAGACTTTTGATATATTCCACCAGATGTAAATTCTGCATGTACTTCCTGTGGAGGGTTATGAAGAACCCTGACTGGTAGCAGCAAGTAGTGCAATTGTACCTCTGTGTGGAGTTTCTCATAATGAAGACTTAGTTTCTACACAGTTCTAATGATTCTCAGTGTATGAAGATTTTACCTGTAGTAGAAACTTTTCACACTGTAATCACTTATGAGTGCACTAATGATAGGAACCAGTAGTTTTCTGTATTATTGTGGTTGTTGAGGTGTCTCATGCATAAACAAACATCCTTTCCCAGCTAATGCTTTTAGATTGCTGAAAGTGGGAAAAGCCTGAAGTATCTATTCCTCATTTCCTCTCAGTGGTATTGTAGATTCACTGTTTGTTAACCATCAGCAATTTTCCTGATAATGTTTTGGTTTGGTTTTTTTTAAAGTTATCCTACAGTTCCACATTACTCATTGCATAATGTAATTTCCCGATGAATTAAGAATCCAATGGACCTAACAGAATTTAGTATCTGCATGACAAAGCGTATATAGGGGTACATAAAGTACATCTTGCTAATAGAATCACAGAATCAGAGAATGGTTTGGGTTGGAAAGGACCTTAAGATCATCTAGTTCCAACCCCCCTGCCATGGGCGGGGACACTTTGCACTAAAGCATGTCACCCAAGGCTCTGTCCAACACAGTTTTTTACAAATATCTGTGAAAACAGCAGTATTTTTCTTGTTTTGTTGAGTGAAAGGTAGAGTATCTCCTGAAACAGCTAAAAATAAATATATTTGAAACCAATGTATGTTGTTTTGGAAAATTGTTGTAGAGGATTATAATTTGCTGCTAATCTTGTTACTGGAGGAGTTCTCACTGAAAGAAATATAGTAATGTTCTGTAACTTTTTTAATTTAAAATGTCTATTTAGCCTCAGAGAAATAATTCCAATTAGTTCAGTTGGCTTTTTACATTTTTAGCTCTTTCCGCCCCCACCTGACTGGTTCAGAGTTTAATTCCTCTCACCAATCAAGTACAATAAGATTAGATGAAACATACAGTTTCACTTTCAGTCTGGTTATTTTCCCTTTTATTTTTTTTTTCTTTTTGTCCCTAGGCAGGGATAGTCTTTGCTTAATAATCTGAACCTCAGCTCTAGTTGGTTAGGTAAAGAGGCAGTGGAAAAGCTAATGAAGAGTCTAATGCTCCCATGTCTCTATTTAGACAGCATCCTTAACAAGTAAGGTTTGCTTCCTTAAAAGCTAGTAACTTGGAAGTCTCTGAACTTAAGTACAGAATTCTATTCCTAACATACAACTGGTATTAAAAATGCTTTCAAACTTTGGTTCTATTGCCTCATGTATTGTCTAAAAGAGACCCAGTGATGGAAAATCATTAGTGTGATCTTTTTTTCCCTTGTTGTCTAAAGGCTGTTTTCCTTTTTATCTAGGCAGGTGTAAGTACATTTTGGTTTCCAGACTTCGTGCCTTTTATGTCCTAAAGCGATCTATTGTAATAAAAACAAGATTAGCCCTCACCTGAGAAGAACTGCAGAGAAAACTCTTTGGAAATACTGAGGCATTACATCTAGAGGGTTTTCCCTTCCTCCTCCAACTTTCTTGCTACAAGTGGTAGACGGTTTGTGGCTGATAAATGGCCATTTCAGTTCTTGAAATGCTTAAACGCTATAGAAACAAACCAGTGTTCTCTACTGGAAGTGTTCTCCATTGGAAGCTTTCCTTCATGGTCCTTTGGAAGTGTCTTCATCAATGTATTTGACATCTCACCTACAATGGCATGCAGTGTGCTTGTGTATCCTGTATTATTACAGGACTAATTATTTGTGGATAGCTCAAGCTGCTTTTGGGCCTGCTATATGAAAATAAAGCAAGTTGCTTCAAAGAAGTAGAATTAATAAAACTTGGTTTTGCTTTTTGTGTGAGTTTGAGGTTTTTGTATTCATCTCAGTGCTGTATCTCCTGAGTTCCTGGCTTCTCTGTGCCCAGCTTTCTCCTGCATCACCTATGCTGTCCTACTCCCTCCATCCCTGCACCACCACCCTGGTGCAGCACATCATGCCTTTATATTCCCTGGTTACCAGTGAGGTGAGAAGTAATACTATTGGTGCAGATCTGAGATACAAATATGCCAATTAGCTAACTAGTAGCCTTAGCATGACTGTTTACTTTGTGCGACAATCTCTTCCCTTAGTAGGGTTATTAATTTTGGAACCATTGGTGTTCATGATGATTAGAGATGGCCTTTTTTCTTTTGGGTCTCTGGCTTTCCATCAGATATGGCTGTAATTAGTCAATGAATTCCAAGTATTTTACAAACTTTCTGATGAAAAGTAGTTCAAGCCAGTATCACATGTCCTAGCAAACAGAATTATTTGCATGTCTTTTTCTCTTCCTTCCCACCATCTTTGAGTAGATCCATACTGTTAAAATTACCTGTGCAACAGTCGAAGGGCAAGTGATTATGAGACATTACTTAAAAGCATGAATATATATTCTTGTGTGTGTATATAACTGGTATGTATATGAATCATTCACATTTATCATGGTTTTTAGCTTATCTCTTGTGCTCAAACACCACTCCTGTCATATATAAAACAGTATTGTCACTATACACCATGACCCAGTAGTTTATTAGGCTGTCCTTCTAAATATGTTGGGCATCTTTCAAAAGAAGGCAGTTTCCTCCAACATGATGGACCTCTCCAACTGCTAGAGTGTGTACAGCCTATTTACTAAATGCAACGTGGATTTTCTGTAAATTGGATCAGATGATGCCTGACATCTGCTCCCTTGGTAGAAATATCTTCAATTCTGAAAGACAACTGACTAGGAATGTTGCAGGTTGAAGAGACTTGTTTAACTGGCTTATTCAGTACACTTAAAGGAAAGGGAATATCATCCTCACTGTAGCTGCAATAGCTGTTTTGGTCCTATTGTGCACATACTTACTGACAACAAATTCAGTTTGCTTCTCCTGAAACATATTTTTGGGCTTTATTGCTCTTAACACTGTATTTAGATGCGCTTTTGTTAGTCAGTACTTCTGTTTGGCACTGTAGTTCACAGAAACCTTGCATGGTTCTTTGCGAAGTTACATCAGTTTAATGTAATAACTTCCTCTGTGACCTGCTTATAATTTAAACTCCTTAGAGTTCGGTCATAAAGTCTGATAGAATTTTCATGGAATTTGGAGAGCAAACACTTCAGAAATTTCTGCTTCAAAGCTTATCTAATTATTTAACCTTTTGACTTTGCTTTATTATATACATTTGTAACAGTAAATGGTCTACCTGAAATTATCAACATTACTTGAAAAATATGGTTTATGCAGAAGTTATCAAAGTTTGCATAGGTAGTTTGGTAATGAACTCATAATACCGGTTCCACATAATTCCTGTTTCAGTCTCCAACTGCTTATACCTATGGAATATCATTTCAGGATTTCTCATCCTTCTGGTTTCTATTTATTATTGCATAGCTGAAGGCAAATTTAAATAAAACTGAGATGCCCCTTTGGATCTCAGTCAGATTGTTTTGAACAGAGTGATTGGGACATTTTTGTTCTTTTCTTACAGCAGCCTGCAGGACTGCAGTTAGAAGGTTCTAGATTTATATGCCTTCCCAGATCACTTATTGAGTGGCACATACCAAATACATTAGTATTTTTCGTATCATCAACCAGCTTTACAATACACAACTATTTAGAAATGCTGGCCTGAGGAAGTCACTACTGGATATTCTCACTTCTGTGGGTATTCTTCATAGAACACATTTTCACTACATATAGCAGAAGGCATCATCTCGAGCAGTTTACAGTATACCTCATTCTGTGGAAGTTAAAATCCTTTATTAACACATTCACTGCTGAAAGTGTAATATGCAGAGTTCCTAGTCTTACTTTTAATAGTCCAACAACAAATGCTTAAAATTAAAGTGATAATACCAACCAGACCTAGAACTTCGGGTGCTTAACTTTTTTTTTTTTAACATTTGTCAACCATCTTTGAATCATTAGACAGGTTTTGCTGTAGATCCTCTGAAAGAAAATTAGAAACAAAGTTTTTAAACCCTTTCTCTCAAGAAGTACTTGAAATAAGAACTTAAATATATGACACTTACACATGGTGATTACTACATGGTCTTACTACAGAGGGCCTTCCTATATGCATAAGTACATTGTTAACTATAGCTTATCTTCCCTTTTACGATGACCCTTTGGTACAGCAGCATTAATACTGAAAGGAGAATACAACATAGGAATGACAGAATGAGGTAAGCCATTTAAAGGGAACACCTTCTGTTGCAGGTTATCCTGAATGCAGAAGATGTTTCATATTTAAATACCTAACAGATTTTCATTTCTAAATAGATTTAATGTTACTGAACAGCTCTGCACACCTTTACTTCTCAGTGGTTGGATTTCAGATCCAGAAATGTTCCATGAAATAAATGTTCCCTTTTTTAAATCTGAAGTTGTTTTCTTTTGGAGGAGGCAGGATTTTCAGATTCAGTGGGGTGCCAGTTTAGTAATTTTGTTCAAAGTGCATGGTGAGAATAATCTTTCTCCTAAAATGAAGCACAAGGATAAGTAATAACTTTTTATGCATGATAAGCATCAAAAATATGAGCCTGCTGGTCTTTGCTTTTCATTTTTCTTTACCTTTGTCTTTCAGTCAGAGCCTCCTGCAGCGTGCACACAATGTGATCAATAACTCAATAACTTTTTTCATGCAGTAATTATCTCTATGTGGTATTATCTGAACACTGTTTTTCTTTATTACCCAAAAGATGCAGGAGATATTTATATAACCAGCTGATCCCATTTTGGATGAAGCTGCTTCATGACAGCAGGAGAAAGTTTGTATTAAATAGCCTTTTTTAACAAATGCTGCATGGAAAGCTTACCAGGTAGTACTTTTTTTTTTCCCTCTAAGAGAAAAATTATTCTTAATAGTCTTTCACACTTAATACTTTATATTTAATTAAGCACAAAGTAAATGGAAGTGTCCTATAAATTAACAGAGTTTTAAGCCATTATGCTGAGTGTCTTTTAATAAAAAAGCCTGTTCAGGAAATAGGTACAACTGTTCTGAATTCATAGATGATGACTGGATTGATTTTTCAGGGTAAACACTTCCCTTAAAAAATAATGTTCTTATCTGGAATACATTCTCATCTGACTGGCTTCTAATTTTCACAGATCGAGCTCTTACAAGAGTCGCAGATGATGATTCCAGACTGCCAGCGCAGATTAGAAGCTGCACATGCAGATCTTACTCAGCTACTAGTAAGTACGGCACCATAACCCACCAATCAAGAAATGCTGCTGTTTCTTGACGAACTTGGATAAATATGCTTGTCTGCAGTGCAACTGCAGCACACTAGGACTGAAGAATTACTTTTTATAGTAATTCTATAGCATCCTAGTATCCAGGACTAGTATCCTATAACATATCAGTATTTCATTTTAGATAACTGTCTTTGGAGACTTGATCTTCAGTCTGTAAAAGCTGTGTGTGTTAGAATTTTAGAAGCTGTCTTTAATGGAATGTACACTCAACATACTGTTTAAATACTGTACTGCTAGAATAGACTCTCAATTTCTATGCTAGTTACATGATCAGAAAAAACAGTTCATCTACCTTACGTAGTTTTCTAAATAGTGTAGATGTACATAATCTGCTTACAGTGAACTGAAACAGTTAAAATACTTTGCTTACTACTTTCATTATGCTATGGATAAGAAACAAGACAGCCAAGTAAGTCCTTGCCAAGTACTGCTTTATGTTTTATTAGTGACGTGAGCATCACTGCCATGTATTTAAGATATAATACCTGCAGGAATAAACAGTTATCTTGTACAAATAGAATGACTGAAATTATAATAGGTTTGGACCTAGTATCAATAATGATGCTTATTTTAAAGTGCTGTCTTCTCATCAAGAATTCAGCACACATGTAAATGCTACTGTAAGGTTACCCTAAATTAAGCCCCCGACACATTTGATGGCTGAAATGCAAGTTCCTTCTCAAAGGAAAACTTAAGGTGTCTTATCCTCAGGTAGTATGCCTCTACTAGTCATTCAACGACTTACTGAAGGGTTAGCTGGTTTAGATTTCAGCGTCATGCAGAAGTGGTGCTATTGATCCATACAGTGTATGCTGTACAAACTTAAAACAAGGAATGGGCGGAGTTACTGTTGTTAATTTAAAAGTCCTCAAGAGTTACTTTCTGTGCTTGCCTTAACCTTCAGTGGTTTTATTAAAATTAGCTGTCTAGTGGTATGTTTTTTCAGTTGTCAATCTGCTTAAACTTTTTCCTAAGAGTACTCTTATTCTGAGGTCTGTTGTTACTGGTTCCAGTTATGCTGTCCTTGGTTTTAAATATTTAACAGAATAAAGGTATGCAAATCTACTCACTTATGACAGCCATTATCCTGGACCTTTAGTAAGACAATAGAAATAATCTGTGCTTTGAGTCATACAGAACTAGTGTTTTCAATAATTATAAATTCCTTGTTACATAGAATAGTTTGGGTTATGGTTTGGAAGGAACCTTTTAAGGTCATCTAGTTACAGCCCCCCCTACCATGTGCCTTCCACTAGATCAGGCTGCTCAGAGCCCCATTCAACATGACCTTAAATGTTTCCAGGGATGGGGCATCTACCACCTAAGTAACCATCCCCATTGTAAAAAATGTCTTTCTTATATCTAGTCTGGATCTACCCTCCTTTAGTTTAAAACCATTACCCCTTGTACTGTGCAACAGGCCTACTAAAAATTTTCTCCTCATCTTTCATGGAAGCCCCCTTTAAGTATCAAAAGGCTGCTATAAGGTCTCCCCAGAGTCTTCTCTTCTCCAGGCTGAACAACCCCAACTGTCTTAGCCTGTCCTCACAGCAGAGGTGTTCCATCTCTCTGGTCATCTTTGTGGCTCTCCTTTGTGACTCTCCAACAGGTCTTATTTCTTTCCTGTGCTGAGGACTCCAGAGCTGAACACAGTACTCAACATGGGGTGTCAGCAGAGTGGAGCAGAGGGGAAGAATCACCTCTCTCAACCTGCTGGCCACACATCTTTTAATGCAGCCCAGGATATATGGTTGGCTTTCCAGACTGTGACCAGGGGCTTATGTCCACCAATACCCCTAAGCCCTTCTCTGCAGGGATGCTCTCGATCCCTTTATCCCCCAGCCTATGTTGGTACCAAAGGCTGCTCCAACCATCATGCAGGACCTTGCAGCACTTGGCCTTGTGGAACCTCCTGAGGTTCACATACCCCAAGCCTGTCCAGGTCTCTCTGGATGGCATCCTCTCACTCAGGCATGTCAACTGCACCACTCAGCCTGGTGCCATCTGCAAACTTGCTGAGGAGGCACTTGATCCCAATATGTGTGCCACTGAGGAACTATTGAACAGTACTGGTCCCTGCATGGACTCCTGGGGGACACCACTTGTCACTGATCTCCATTTAGAAATCGAGCTGATGACCACTACCCCTCTGGATAAGATTATCCAAAAAATTCCTCATCCACCAAACAGTTCATCCACCAAATCCATACCTCTCCAATTTAGAGAGCAGGATGTTGGGGGGGACCAGGTCAAAGGCCTTACAGAAGTCCACGTAGATGATATCTGTAGCTTTTCCCTTCTCCACTGATGTAATCACTCCATCACAGAAGGCCACTAGGTTGGTCAGGCAGGACTTGCCCTTGATGAAGCCACACTGGCTGTCTTGAATCCCCTTCCTGTCCTCCACGTGCCTTAGCATGGCTTCTAGGAGGATCTGTTTCATGGTCTTCCAGACACAGATGTGAGGCTGACAGGTTGGTAGTTCCCAGGTTCTTCCTTTCTACCCTTTTAAAAATAGGTGCAATGTTTCCCGTTTTCTAGTCTCCAGGACTTCACCTGACTGCCAGGACTTTTCAAGTATCAGGGAGACTGGTGTGGCAACTACATCAGCTGATTCCCTCAGGACTCTGGGATGCATCTTATCAGGTCCCATAGACTTACGTATGTTTGGTTTCCTCAGATGGTCAAGAACCTGACCTTCAGTTACAGTGGGAGGGACTTTGCTACCCCAGTCCCTGTCTTGTGGTCCATCCACTTGAGAGGTGGGGGAAGAAAGGCTGCCAGTGAAGATTGAAACTAAAAAGTTGTTGAGTGCTTCAGCCTTCCCCCAGTCTGTTTTTAATCTTTTGGGGTTTTTTCCATAGTTACCTTCTTAAATTTAATATCATGTCAGTTATTGTCAAAGTACTCAGTAATTTTGGTTTTGATTCCAGGAAAACGAAAAAGAATTGGAAGAAGCCGAAGAGTATAAAGAAGCACGTTCCATACTGGAATCAGTGAAGCTGGAAGCCTAGAAAGTTTTTCAGTACTCTCTCTTTATATGCATTAGCACTGGGTCCATTCCACACTTTTGTTTGACTATGGCTCTATTACTATTGTTGACTTGCTAAGGTTCCCTTTATGCAAACTGGCCTTTCTCTAACTGCAAGATGCATCAAATAAAGGATGTTCTGAAACATCTGTGTGTTCCATATTCAGGCAAAATATAAATATTTCCAGTTGATCTCCATTGCAAAAAAAAAAAAAAAAAAAAAAAAAAAAAAAAAAAAAAAAGCCAATTTAATGTAATAGTGTAACAGGTAATATACAGAACTAGTCTGACCAGTTCAGGCTAAGAATCAAAGTTTAGCTATAAAGACTGTGAGGAACCAATAAATACATTAGAATGAAACAGAATCATGAAATGGTTTGGGTTGGAAGGGACCTTAAAGATTCACCTAGTTCCAGTCCCCCTGCCATGTTTTAGAAGCACCTCATATTTGAAATAATTTCAAGCCATTATAGCATAAGAATCCATACTGAAAGAGGTGGACTAAATGACCCTTCAAAGTGACCCATTTTTTTATTATGATGCAATTTATCTCTAATGTTATCAAGTATGTACTCCTTGTTTATCGTTGCACCCAAGAGACAATTAAGAGCTGATTCCAGATCTTTCTCAATTTGACTGGGGTTGATTCCTAGAGCCCAATTCACACCTTTACCATTGATCAGAATTCTGTTATTTTTTGAAGAAACAGAATTTAGCAGCTGACTAGTATGTTGTCAGTTGGATCTGCTGGCAAGAGTTATGGACCAAATGCTTTTCCTGAAAACATCTTGGTCTAAGTGAGGTTTTTTGGAACTAAGCTCAAACCCTGGAAGATGAAAGATGAAAGAACTGATGACTAAGGGAACAGTGCTTAATCTGCCTGGAAGACTATTAAACCATACATACAAAAGTTGTGGTTCTTTCAGAATAACTTCTCTAAACAGTAAAAGGTAAGCTCTGCTGATGAATAAGAAAGCATTTTACATTAGTTTTTCTAGCTTGAAAGTGCTCTGGCATGTTCCTTAAAGGCAACACAAAGCACAGTGTACCTTTTGTGTGGTGCTATATTGAATATCCTTAATAAAATTTTTTGTTAATTTGCTTGAGTTTGGGTAAACTGCAGTTTCATTACCTCTATTAGTGTACCTTAAGCACACAGAGTAGTAAGTCTGCTTCTCCATTACTCTTAACACTGCTTTGACAGATTATCAACAATGTAAGTTTCTGAATGTTTGCAGAATTACCTATGTTTGAAGTGGCCACACTCCAGTACTAGAGTGCCAAGAGGTGAAACCTTTTGTGACACTATTATGGTTTCATAAGAGTACATGCACACCTTCTTACCAACACTCCATCCTAGGCACGTGGCTGCCAAACAGACTCTGCTTGGTTCACAGCACAGAGAACCACTATTGAGGAGAACATCTGCCTTTGAATGCTCACTTCAGGCAGCTGCTTCTACAGATCTTTATCAGGGAAGGTAGCTGGATTGGACAAAGCAGACTGCAGGTCTTAGCTGGCAGGCTGCAGTCAGCATAACAGTAACCCTGCTTGCAGTCACTGAGTGGCGTGTGGTGAACAAATGCCAAGCTAAAAAGGAGATGGGGGGGTGTCAAGTCTGCTGGGTAAAGCTGAATTTACAATAAAAACTACTCTTCTTCAGAATTAAAATACACAGTTCTGGAAAACAAACCCACAGCAAAGTGATGTGCAGTTGCTGAGTACTACAAGGAATGTCTGTCAGCATGAAACCTAAACAGAGGCATGACCTATAGTGGCTGAAGGAAAGTAGCATCGTGATATGTCTTAAGTTGGTATTTAGAGTTAAAGGCAAATGGGACTGAAGAGTTACCATATAAACCAGACTCCAGGGAAAAGTTTCTTGGTGCAGTAGTTTCCCGGGTAGAGTGGTTTCTCATGTTTACGTAATACTTCTCTGTCCAGGCTATTTTCTTAGCTCCATCCAACTGCACCATGAAGCAAGATGATACTGTCCCCTGTCTGTTTCCTCTTCCACCTTACAAAGTTCTCCAAAAGACTGAGCATGTTCTGTTGTATGGAAAATAGCCAGCTTCACTGCTGAAAATCAAGATGAGTTTATACCTGAAAGTACTTGCTCTCTGTTCTCCAGATGCCTCTGGAAATATCTAACTTCTAAGAGGACAGTAGAACAACACCCATAAAAACTACATCAAAAAATTGTGACAAGACAGCAATAACGTAGGGCTGGCCCCTGGAGGGTGGATTGGCAAAGCCATGCAGATAATGCATTAGTCATGCTAGCAGAGCAGTTGATCCAGTGATACATTATTGTAGACTGCATTTTTCTGGCAGAGCTGTGAGTGGCCAGATGCAGATTACTCATAAAGATAATTATTTTTGCTGACAAAACATTTATCATTTAGACTGGATCCAAGTTCCATAGTAAAGTAAAATGCAGAAAACTAAGTATAAGCAGCAGAATTGTTGCTACCCTCTCAGACCCCAAACTCAAAAGGTAGTAGCACATCAAGTAATATCACGTTATTTCTAATTTCAAAGTTATTTACTCATAGTCTGCATTAGCAGATACAAGAGACCATCCTAAAAGAGAAAAATGCCATGGGAAACATTTTTGACCTCTGTTCTCTTTGAACTTCATCACTGGCATTACTAATGTCTTTCAAAGTCTAAGGTAGAAACACTGCATTTACCTATTCATACAATGATATATGTTAATTTATTAGTTTTCATGCTGCATTTTTTACACCCTGGACAGAGGTACTGCCCTTTTAGTTACACCTCTCTTGATGGCAGAACATGTTTAAGAAGTTTCCTGATTATTTACTAGTTGAACAAAGCATTTGTTTTACTGAGAGGTTATAGCAGAACAGCCATCCAGGTTACAACCTGACTGAAGAAACAGAAGAGGTGATTTGAGAATAAAAAAGAAGACTGAGAACAACTTGGAAATAAATCATTGTTGCTCTGATCACACGTTTGATCACTACTACCTGCTTTTAATTTTACCCTTGCACAATTAAGATTCTTCCCCTTCGATGCAGATGTGCTGCATCCAAGTACAACTACGGAACAAAGCTGGTACCTTAACCTGGAAATTAGTATTTCTTAAGTCCTCACTTACACTGTATAATCAAAAGCCAAAGGAGTGTAAAAACTCTGCCCTCTTTCCTTCACTTGAAGGACTTCCACAACACTCAGGTAAATTTTTTAACTGGCTCATTTAGAGGCCAGTTGCTTTTGTTATAGAATCATAGAATGGTTTGGGTTGGAAAGGAGCTTAAGATCATCTAGCTACAAACCCCTGCCATGGGCAGGGAGAACTCACACTAGACCATGTTGCCCAAGGCTCTGTTCAACCTTGCCTTGAACACTGCCAGGGATGGAGCATTTACCACTTCTTCGGGCAACCCATTCCAGTGCCTCACCACCCTCACAGTAAAGAAGTTCTTCCATATGTCTAACCTGAACTTCCCCTGTTTAAACCCCTGATCATCCTTGTGGCCCTCCTCTAGACTTGTTCCAACAGTTCCATGTTCTTCTTAAGCTGGGGACACCAGAACTGCACATAGTACTCCAAGTGGGGGCTCACAAGAGCAGAGTAGAGCAGCAGGATCACCTCCTCTGACCTGCTGGTCACGCTTCTTTTGATGGAGCCCAGACTACTGTTGGCTTTCTGTATTTTAATTAATACAAAGCATTTTCTTACCTAGTGATAATTTACCAAAGATTCTTTGAAAGTAAGTTCTTACAGTCATAAAAGTAACCATGATTCTAAAACAATGTTTCTGACAGGCCTCTAATATAACACAAAATAAAGTCCCTCAAAATTCTACACAAAAATGAAACCTTGTAATTTATTAGCAGCAGGATTTGGGTTGTTGTTTTATGGTGTTTATGTTCTGGGAGCAAGGTCCAGGAAAAACAAAACAAACAAAAAGCAAACAAACCAAACAAAAAATAAAGCCACAGCACAAAAACAACGTAAAAAACCCAACAAAAACCAACTTTACTTTCTCTGAAAGCCACTGAATACTGAAGAAGAGGATCCAAGAAACATCCAGGCTTCAGCACGTACCATAGCACATCATTAAACCACAAATCCCTTCCTCACTGCTATTCTTCCAGCTTTAACTGCAATAACTGAGCTGTGTCTCTGTCTGGTATTTGGATCTCTGAACTTCTGCTTAGAGTCCAACGTCTATGTCAGTTATTTCTTCCAAAACACAAGCAGAGGAAACAGCTGCCACTGCATCCTTTTACCCTCTTAGTCATTAGCCAAACAGGTACCACTTCCTTGAGATACGGAAATCTGTTCTTACAACTGGCTACTCTATAGTAAAGACCAACCAACAACACAAATAAGAAAACTGAAATTTTTTACTTAAAAAAAAAAAAGTAATTTTGGAATGATTTTAAGAAGTATGGGGAGCAGAGAAAGGCACAGTAAGGTCTGAAAGCACTTTCACAGGGAGCATCAGTATGTACAGGTCATTTCTGGCCATAGCCTACTAGCGTAAAAGGAAGAGAGTGAATAATGTTTTTGGTTTGTTTCTTTTATCCAGCCAAAACATTGTTCATTGAGTTGTATTAGCTGAATTTCACAAAGATCACACAGCACAAGTTAAAAAGAGATGTAGCCACTGAAACACATCTCCAGAAGGAACAGTGACAGACTTCACATCCAACAAAAAAAGCCTATCTTGTAGGCACGTAATTAGCTACAAAAAAGGACTACAAGGTATATCTTCAGGCTCCACCATCCTTTAATAGGAAGGAAGAGCTAACTGCACATAGATATTTCAGGTTAAATCCACAAAAAAGGATAAAGCTGGTACAGCACATCCATTTTAGAAGCTTTCCAAAGCACCTTGAGGTAGGAAAAGGGGACTGACTGCAGAGTGCACAGCCAATTAGCATAGTATCACTGAATCCAAAGGCAAGCATTTAAAAAATGGATATTCTGCAGATCCACGAGCATCAGAATATACCACGTGCTACAAACACTTGCAGCACTCTGTCGTATTTTGACTTTCAGGCAAGGGAAAAGCTTGAGCTTTCATAATGGCACTCACAAAAGGCAGTAAACCAAGCAAGAATTTTTACCCTGCAGGAAATGTAAAGATTAGGAGCAGGAAAGTAAAGGCCTGTTTTCAAATCTTTTCTGCTTACCCTAAAGCAAAGGCTTGAATCCAG